ATACAAAAACTAGATAATAGCTAATATGCATATTATTCTGTAAGGAAAATATTGATTACCGATTGAGAAATGGGCTGATTTCTGGGTTTAAAATGGCAAAAATGTACCTGACATTTCATTTTATACATCTTTATGGGTTTGCGAAGTATAGTTTTCGGTTTAATTCTAGCTTTTTTCTCATCTGGATTATCTGTGGCCTCAGCAGGTGTTTTCAGCTTTGTGTGAAGGTATCTGACTCCACTAGATGGCTCCAAAATGAACAAGCCTTATATCTATGAAGAGCTATTCCACACGCTAGTCAGATGTACTACATCATTATAAACATACCATCAGCATGCTGATTCTTACTTACAATATTATATTTGGGATTTCTGCAGCTCACATTATTTCCCTCACTCATCCACGGTCACACAGAAAATATGCATTTAATTGCATCTTAGAAATTTTTCAACAATTTCACAAACTCTTCACCCTCCCAATTTCCCTACTCCTGCCCTCACCTGAAACTCATCAAAGCATAGGAGACAGGTTTCCTCTGCGATCTCCATAGCAACCGGAAAGATGGGGTCATACATTTTCATTTTACCAATCCGTCGCTTTGGCAGGCTCTGTTTCAGTTTGTGGATCCCTGAATGCAATGCACAAATTAAAGTCAATACAAATAAATGCTAATGCTCTCAAAACTTAAATGAAAAAAAAATCTATTCTACTTTATGCTGTTATTTTCCTCAAATGTTATTCATGCATGATAACAAGAATATTTGTTTGCTACTTGTACAAATACAAAATAGTACTACTTTATATTGATTAATATGGAATGAGGTAAATATACAATACAGTTCAAAAGTTTGGGGTCAATTTTTTTAATTAATTTTATTTTGCAAAGATACATTCAACTGATCAAATGTGAAATACATATTTTTACAAAAAGATTTCTATTTCAAATAAATGTTGTTCTTTTTAACTTTTTATTCATCAAATAGTCCTGAAAGAAAAAAATGTATGATAGTTTCCACAAAAAGTATTAAGCAGCACAACATTGATAAGAATAAGAAATGTTTCTTGAGCATCAAATCAGCATATTAGAATTAATTCTGAAGTACCATGTGACACTGAAGACTGCAGTGAAGGCTGCTGAAAATTCAGCTTTGCCATCACAGGAATAAATTACATTTTAGCATGTATTAAAATAAAAAATAATTTGTAATAAAACTTTTAAAATATATATGTTTTAATTGTGACCAATATTACTAATTTCTGCTGTATTTTTGGTCAAATAAGTGCAGCCTGGGTGGACCCAGAACAAAAAACTTTTCTTTCATGATGTGTCCACACTTGGTTTAGTTAGAACTTACTTCTATGTACATCTAACATGAATGCATTGAAATTAACCCTGTTTTTTCTTCTGCTTTTCACAAATGAATAAAAAATGTCCATCAGCATTGTTTTCCCAGTGCCTGTTGCCTGTTATGAAACAAAAACAGAATAAGCATTAATTGGCCTCTCCAATGTAAAGTCCAGTCCAATCCCTCCAAACTCAATGCATGTTTAATATGACTAATCATTGTGTGGCCATAGCTAAAAAAAAGAACTCAAGCTTACCAACATCACCATGGATATAGTAACCACGAGGAGGATGTGGCTTTGTTTGGGGACTCCTGTAAAACAAGAACAAATATACTGTAATCATCTTCTTCAAAGCTGTAAAAAGCTTGTTTGCTTAATTTATCACATTTAACCTACATAGCTCATATCATAAAACAAATGCATAAAAATGCACAAATGCAAATATCATAAAAACAACTGAAGGTTTGCTTTTGTCTCCCGCTAAGAAAGAAAATAAATTTTCAGGTAAGAGTCAGATTAAGAGTCCCCTTGACTTAAAATTTCCAAACAATGTCAGCATTGCATTTAAGAGTACAAGGGGTTTGATGAGCCAGTTCAGAACTGTCTGTGGCTGCAAACAATTGATTATTCAGGAACGACAGAGAGCCGACATCCTTATCCCCGTATTCTGATTTTTTTCTGGTGGGGTGAATGCTGTTTGAGCACGCAGTGAAGCGCAGTGTTCTTGGATGACAGCGTGTGACTTCTCACTGACTTCCAGAACTCTCTGTAGCTCGTTATTGTGGCTGGTGGCAGTGGTCCAGTCACAGTAGAGTGGACAAACACAGTGAAGCGACTGAGAGAGAGCGGACACAGGCCCTGTCAGGGACGGGTCCACAAGGTGGAGTCATGCTCTACACTTTCACAGGACGCAGCCAAGGGGAAAAAGTTCACATGCCAACACTCTTAGTTAGAAACGCTCTGTTTTCCACTCTCTTTCACAAACGAACTGTTGTTTGCTCTGGTAATGCTTTAGATAAACAATGACTTTGGGATTTTAATACATTTTTTTGGAAAGAATAACTTTGGGTATTATAATAAGCGATTAACTTTTAAATGAAAAGAATGCATTTATTCATCCCTTGCACTGTTCAATTCACCCTACGGACAAAGTTTTTCGCCTTTTTTGTCCTAAATAATCACCACAAGAGCACATCGCTGTACATGTTTATGTTTATTTCCCCTTATTAAAAGTGGAGCTGGGAATCTCTTTCCCAGACAATAGCGACCTCTCATTACAGAGGCGAGGGATAGGTGGAGTGTCCTGACTCAGTAGGGGGCTGTGCTGTGATCCAGCAAGTGCTTGGTCTGGTCTTTCCTCCCACTCTCCACCCCCACAAACACAAACAGGCTGAAGCTGCTTTGACCTAAAAATAACAGTCCCACAGCAAATTAGGCAATGGCACAGTGCAAGCGCTGGGGTCTGACTGAAGGTTGGACTGCTAAGCTTTTTCTTCATTGTAAACATTCACAGAATGCATTGCTCAGTTACGCACATACAAACCATACCTCCTGTGTGTCATTAACATCTCTGTCTTCTTTTTCATTTGAATTTACTTTATTCTCCAGTTCTGAGGTGGGTTGACTCTGTAAACAGTCTTTAGGTTGAGGGAGAAGGATTGGGATGTTGGTATAGTCTGTCATCACTCTGTTTAACTGTCCTAACTGAAGAAGTGCAGCTCTCTGTTGAGCATCCTCTCTCAGTGAACCGGAGAGGACAAGGCTGTCATAGTGGCTGATGAGTCCACTATGAACAGCCCAAGGTGCTGACGTAGATGTATGTCCTGCAAAAAATGTTGAACACTGTTAAGAAAGAAAAATATGTTGATAAACATTTATTTGACATCTATTTAGAAAATAATTTTTACAGTGCTTATATCACATAATACTTGATAATAATTCCTTAATAATTCACATTAAGACTTTGTGAAGATGTTGTATTTGATGAATGCAGAACAACAGAACCAAAAAACAGCTATTATGTGTGACATAACTTTTTTTTTTCTTGATTACGAACAAATGTATATGGCAAGAGAATAATTTTAGCATGAGTAAAAGATGACCATTTAACTTTTTGGGTGAACTATACATTTAGGCAAAACATACAAGTGGCCACATCTTGAAATAAAATATGGTCATAATATAGATGATAATGAAATAATAATAAATGCTTAATCAAAAAAAAAAAAAAAAGCCATACTGCCCAACACCTTCAAATTTAAAAGATTGTTCAATAGGAGACATTTAAACTTAAAAGATTTAAAATTTGGGAAAGATTCCAGAAATATGTTATTATATGTAAAATAATACAGCACAATAAAAAGTTCGACAGCCTGGTTATTAGTTTTTAAATAATAATAAAAATAAACTCTCTGTCTCTCTCTCTCTCTCAAGATAGATATTAAAGGGGTCACATGATGCTGCTAAAAATAACATTATTTGGTGTATTTGGTGTAATGAAATGTGTTTATGCGGTTTAAGGTTCAAAAAACACATTATTTTCCACATACTGTACATTATTGTTTCTCCTCTATGCCCCGCCTTTCTGAAACGCATCGATTTTTACAAAGCTCATCGGTCTGAAAAGCGAGGTGTGCTGTGATTGGCCAGCTATCTAGTGCGTTGTGATTGGTCGAATACCTCAAGCGTGTGACGGAAATGTTACGCCCTTTACCACATTGTGATGATGCCCTGTCAGGCCGGAGCGATGATTATAAACGAGGCATTCGTTGCATCCAGTGGGGACATAATTATGGATTATAATGACTTTTTAAATCGCATCATATGACCCCTTTAAGAATTATGACGTAAATTATTTCCCGCAGTTATCACGTGTTGTCAGCGCTGTCCATATGACAGAAGAGGAGAGTATTCATGCTCACCTATACCCTCCTTAAACACTTCACACCAAACTCCTTTCGACAAACCTAGCTTTTTGTGTGTAATTCTTATAAGGCATCTCGTTGTCCACCGCAACGCGTATGTCGCCATGTTGATTCAAAACTTAATAACTTTATTGAGCTCTGTAGTCTGTACACTGACACCTTGATATCCCTTTATGTAGATGTTCTTTACGGTGTTCTTTCAGGTTTATGTAAGTTACATTATATAAGAAATCTATAATGTAACAATCACGTTACATTACATAAGAAATGTGTCTTTATAAATATAAACGGGCAAAAAAACCTAAATCATATCTCATTCGTGAATAAATGCGAGATATTATCATACTGAACCTATAGCATATTTTTAACATTACAGATTGACAAAAAAGTGCACTGTTATTGCTTTGGAATGCACTTGGAATGCTGTCACGTGAGCTTGAATAAATGACAAATATCACTGTACAAAAGTTGAACATTACAGATGTTCTCCAAAAACTGCATTGTACTTGCTTTGCTAACATTTATCCAATCACAGCTCAGAGTATTTTGGCACGTGACTGTATAAACGCTAGGCATTACTCTACGGACGGTTATAAATAGTAATTTATATTATAACCTATAACATTTTCGACTTCACAAATGTAGCCTGCCCTACACTAAAAAGTACACTTTACTTGATATGACAGCTTCTATCCAATCAAAGCACGCACAGGGATAGTACCACGTGACCGTGTTGGTATGTCACATGTCAGCTGTTCCTCAGCTGATCGGAAGTGCAATCAATAGCCGCTTGTTTGCTCAAACCTATAACGGGAAGCCATGGCTGAGGCCATAGCAGATACGAGAAGGCTGTATACTAAACCACAAAACCTGAGCGATGCGTATGGGCCACCGAGTAACTTTCTAGAGATTGATGTTTCCAACCCCGAGACGGTTGGCGTCGGTCGGAACAGGTTCACGACATATGAGATCAGACTGAAGGTGAGCAGCCAGTGCTGGCCTGACCAGACATCACACTCTCGGGCACACTGATCTGATCAGACTGATGCTTAAATACATTCTTAATGCGATTATAATGAGTGCCGATGGTATAGATCATAGTGTAGTGTGGCTCACGTTAGTTAATAATTCCATGACTTCTGTTGACTTGCGCGTCCAGGTATAACTTTGTAAAACTTGATGGCTTGCTAAATATTTCCATGACAGTGTAACTGTTTAGCTTGGTTTTGATTTTGATTTAGCAAAGCATTGAGCACACCCTCATGTTTATCAAACCCATATAACTTTCTTTCTTCACTGGAAAACAAAAGTAGATGTGACTGAAGCTGTCATTGTGCCTATTACAATTCACTTTCATTGAATGGAAATCAGGTTCATTGAAAGGTGATTGAAGCTGGCAGTTGTTAACATTCTGCTTAACATCTCCTTTCTTTTGTGTTCACTAATAAGAATGAATACAGGTTTGGATCAAAATGAGGGTGATGACAGATTATTCAGGTTTTGGTGAACTATCCCTTTAATTTTTCCAATTGGCACTGACCTAAATATTGTGTTAAGCCTGACTGTGTAATGATCAACTAAAGTATGTTGTGCAGTCGAGTACATAGTTAAGTTGGTATGTGTACAATTGGCGTGAAAGAGTTTTGAGACAAGTGTTTCAAGCAATTACCACTTAGATCTCAAGCATATAGTCTGTGTGACCACACCCCTTTGTGTAAGGCCAAGATAATGGTGCTTATGATGATAATGATGAACCTGGTTAACGCTAAAGTACTGTGCACATCTTCTTTATCAAGTGAGACCTTTCAGTTTGCTAGTTCAAATGCTTTATTTACTTCAAATTTTCTTGTGCTTGTTCTCACATGTGCCTTATTCGAACAGGAATTGGTTTTACGCTTGTTTTTTTAAGTTGTCTTACGATTAAATTCTTCTGAAGCCACTGTGTAGATTATGGTTATTGCATCAATTTTCCACACTTACACACACCATTCCTAAGACACGAGTCAGCTTGCCCATATTTATGCTGATAAAATGCATACCCTCATGGTTTGTTGGCCAAATAATTTTGAATGCTAGAGGAAGTTTAGAACAGTGAGACAAAGACACCTGTGGCTTCCATCTGCTTTGCATGTGAGTGTTTGTGCACTGTTATGCATGGAATTAACCTTTCGACAGATAAAATGACTGACAGGTCAAATAGCATGCAAACCTCCCAAATTCCCACTGTTATGGTAAAAAGGTGAAGTTACGTTACATGTAATTTGAATTCTAGGTATCCAGAGACAGCTAAACTTGCAAATGTTGAATGTTCGTCCAAAAGCAAAACATCTCTATGCTTACATAAAGGAAAGTAGACTACAGTATGGTGAATGTTTTGAGAATCTATCATTAGTATGATAGTAAATCATGTAATATGATAAAAGAGAAGACTGAGCTCATGCTCAAGGAGAAAAAAATTCCTCAGTTTTATTCAGATGCCCAGACGATACAATTTGGTGCAGTTGCTGATATTAATATGCCTAAGATGAATTCTGCTTACTTACTACTAACAAGCTTCTAGCAATATTTAGTGTTTCAACACTATACTTTGCTTTCTGTTTTGCATTACTTCAAATTGCTTGTGCTTTCTGTTTTAAATTACTTCAAATGCATGAGAAACAAATCAGTTACATCAAAATCATCAGGTAGGCCAAATCAGAAAGCAAGCTGACTCATGTCATCATTTTGTTTCCAGGGGCATACAGTATCTGCCCCTGAAAAGCAGTGGGTCAGTTGTTGTAAGTAGTGTAATTCTTCCCGGGTTTTCCCTGCATAGAGAATTATGAGGTGGCCACATCGGGCAAATTTTTTGCTACCTCTGGTTGTCGACAAACTCAGACAGGCAGTCATGTGCAAGCGTCACTGAACAGCATCCATTAGGGCTTTTAGTCCAAAAGTGTGCATATTTGGAGAAATACTGATATCTTTACACATATTTAATTTATATTTCTTTAGACAGAATCATCATTATGCGATCTGATGAGCATTCGCGGCATCCAGCGCTGTCTCATATGTTTTCTCTTCCGCTATCGCTGTTTTGACTTAGAGGAAGCATATGTCTTATGTCACTCATTGCGTGTTCATAACCCTCCCTGTCTCTTTCGATGACGAGCTTCCATTACACTTCCATGTTGTGTTCTGTACACACAGCAAACCCAGAGAAACGTGAAGCTAATAAACACACTATTATGATAGTATATTAATTATTTTCATAACAATAAAAAATGTTTACATGAGAAATGATCGTGATTAGCTTAATATAAATGGCTACAAATAACTTATTTCAACAACATTATATGACTAAAATCCACATTAGATCGCAATCGTAAGTTATTACAAACACTCGATGGTGGTTTGAAGTGAGATTTGGGTGAAATCGTAGTATTAATTAATCTTATGAATAGTCTTATGTAACTTGATGCTAATGTTAGCTCTGATACACCTGTTACCCTTAGGGCTGCACAATAAATTGAAATGGAATCGAGATCGCGATTCGACAGAAGCTGCGATTGTCATGCGCTGCTGTGATTAAATTTCATGATGTATTCTATCAAAAAATGTATGTAAAGTTGTAAGAAAATGTTTTGTTTTCTAGAAAGACACTTTTTAATAAGTGGATAAATGTATATTGGATCAAAGCGGTGTGGACCAGGAGACTAAGGAGTGGATCAAGATTTTAAATTTCATGCAGTGTTTAACGGCCTGATGTTATGTTTATGTTCACCTACACTGTAAAAGGGCCCCTTTTAGCTGTTTAGATGTTGTATTTAATTTAATGTTCATCAGTTTTTTTGGTTTGTTTCATCTAATAATTAGAACATCTAAAGTATGTTGCGTGTAAAAAGTGTTTGCTTCTGCCAGTTAAAGGCTGGGTACAATATGTGCATGATCAGGATGGTACCACCTCCGCCTCATTTTAAGTCAGTAAAACCCTGTCTTCCCTATAGTTTTCAGAAGATTCCTAGAATGAAGCATAAAATTTTGCAGCTCTCAGTTGTCCTCAGTATTTTACTGGGACTCATATTTGTCCAGACATGCTGTTGTTTTCTAAGAGGCGTTTATGTTCTACTGATGTATCCAACTGTATCAGGTGCCTGATAACTGTCGGTACTTCCACTGGTAGTCACACAATGCATTGCTTTTAATTTGCATTAAGTTAAACTCAACTTTGAACTTATTGCTAATGGTCAAAGTTGCTCAAATTGCAGAAATCACCAAAAATAACTTTGTTGCTGTGTGTGAACGTCTCTTTAGCAAGAATACATTTGACCTTGGTGTGGGTGTGTGGCCCAGTTAGAAGTCATCCTAGTGGTTAAAGATTTAGGTCTGTAAACAAAAGATTGCACTGACTATTGTGCACTCGCTGTCCCTGCAGCTTAACGTTGCAACATTACCTGAAAGTAGTGGAAACAAATTTCACAGTTCTCAGTTGTTCGTTGGTCTACAATTGTGTTCTATTCTCTGTTCTATTTTATTTATTTCTTGACACATTTGTAACAATACTCAAAGTAGGGGTGGGCGCTATACCGGTATGAAAGTGAGTACCGGTATTATGTTGTTCCATGATATGGATTTTGCTATATCGTGGATACCGTTATATATTCATGAATTCAAATTTTGCATTTATATAGTTTTGTTCAATTTGGTACGCTTTGAAAATTTGAACACAAATGACAATAAAGAGTCAAGGCTGAACATTTTTGTCCTCTGTGTGCAACGCCGTACTACACAGGCATTAGTAATCAAACACATAGAGCATCGTAACAGGCCACATTAATAGAGCACAAATCGCCTACTCCAGTGGTTCCCAAACTGAGGGATAGTGCACAGTCAGCAGATTATTTTGCAAAAGTGATAAAGACTACACTGCGTAATTTCCAGCTTATCATGCGGCCACTTGCCTGATAAGTAAATGATTGAACGCAAAATATTAATTTGACGTTTTAATTACCTCAACATGACTCGCAGTACCCGCTTGAGCACTCCGTTATCAGTTGTAGCAGTTGTGGTTGTATCAATAACAGACCACTAGATGGCGCGATTGAAGAATCAGAGTTGTATTGCAGGGAGCCATGTAGAAATATTAAAGGGGTCATATGATGCTGCTAAAAAGAACATTAGTTTGTGTATTTGGTGTAATGAAATGTGTTTATGCGGTTTAAAATAAAAAATCAGTTAAAAAAACACATTATTTTCCACATACTGTACATTATTGTTTCTCCTGTGTGCCCCGCCTTTCTGAAACGCGTCGATTTTTATCGGTCTGAAAAGCGAGGTGTGCTCTGATTGGCCAGCTATCCAGTGCGTTGTGATTGGCCTGATTGGCCGATTCAGATGTCCCGATTCGATTCGATTTCGATTTGCAAGCTCTCGATTCGATTCGATTCTCCATTTTTTTTTATTACATTCAGTGAATATAGTTTTAATACAAATGCTATTGATATTTCTAAAAAATTAACAGTAAACATCAGTTTACAAATGGTGAATTAATAAAAAGAAATTAAGAACCACATGCCTGTATTTTAAACCTATAATTTTTTTTGTATAGGGTCCTTTTTTAAACAATAATAGGGCCCTATAAAATTTTCTTAATCAGTGGCAAATCCTTTAAATGAAAACGTACTTACAGACTGCGAGTCAGAACATTGTTGCATTGTTGTCTACTCTCCCAGGATCAGGAAACAGTCCTTTATAAAATGTTGCACACATCTTAATATTTGGGTTAAACTGTTCTGGAACAGTGTTGTAAATACAACTTAACCACTGATTTCTAGTCGTGTCCTTCCAAAAGAACCGGCGGCTTGAGTGAGCGGAGGCCGGCGGGCTTGCGGCAACCATATGTGTCGACCCCGGGCTGGACTCCGCTTCGTCCACGGTGAAAGCCGATCCAGCGATCCACAGCGCGAAGTTGATGTATTTCCTCAGCGACCAGCACGGATCAG